CATCTTGATTTTTCTTCATCTCCAAAACGAACACATCTTGATTTTTCAACTGACATCCCATCTGCCACATTTTCTGCAGGTGTCTTCCTCGAATTAATGACTTTATCCAGCAATTATCCATCCTTGAGAGGCCAAACAAGCATCCTAATTTCCCTGGGCCCAAGGTTGAGGAAACAGGGGATAAACCCTTCTCCTGGATTATAACTCACAGCTCTCAGGACCACCCAACTCCTGGCTATAAATTCCTTTTCCAGAGCACTTCCTTCCCAGTTTTTTCTCCTCAGGAGAATTTATCAGTGTCCTTAATCCTCATTTTATCCTCACTGCAATCCTGAAGGGTTTTACCTGCACCACCAGGTGAACAAAAGGCACAGGATGGATCCCAAAAAATGCGGAGAAGGATCCCACGGGACTCAGAGTGAAGTAAATAATAAGTGTCAGGGAGGTAAAAACCACAACAAAATGTTGTGGTTGATGTGCATCCTCAGCAGGAAGTTTCAAAAATTGCTTGAAAACCTGTTTTTATTTCTGAAAAAAATGGGGTTTTTTTGAACACACGTCTACAAAAGGAGGGCACGGAGCGATGGGATGAGGGGGAACCACAGTCAGAAGAAGGAGGGAAGGTTTGGTTGGATACTGGGAAAGAATTCTTGGCTGTGAGGGTGGGGAGGTCCTGGCACAGGTTTCCCAGAGAAGTTGTGGGCTTCTCATCCCTAGAAGTGTCCGAGGGCGGGTTGGAGCGAGCCGGGATAGTGGGAGGTGTCCCCGCCCACGGAATTGGGATGGGATGGTCCCTCACCTGTTGGTGATGGGAATATTCCTGTCCCTCATGGCAAACAGGAGCGTGGCAATGCAGTAAAGCACCTCAGTCACTTCCAGCACGGAGAGGTTGGAGCTGGGTCTCCTCAGACATTCCAGCAGCCTCTGGATGTCGCCGACGCTGTCGGAGAACAGCACCATGACTGCCACGATGGCCCACATGTTCTCAGCCTGGCAGAGGGGAAAGGCAAGGGAAAACGTGGAGCTTTCAGGAGCAGGGGGAATGGCTTCAACCCTCAAAACCCCCCTGCTAATTCCATGATAAATAATTCAATCCTCCTCAGCCTCAAGGAACAACCCCGGAGGGAGAACCTTCGGATGCGGGAACGCCCGCAGAGTTTAAATAAAGCTTAAATAAATGTGAAATTTATTTAATAAATGTGAGATAAATGTGAAACCCACCCCTGTCTTGCTCTGCAGATGGGGCAGCTTGTTGG